TAAAAATATGGGAGGCAGAGAGAAATCCCCTAGTATTCATCACTTTCCCCCTCCATTTTCCATCTGATGTAATTTGCAGCACTGCAAGCAAGTTACTGCTCCAACACTATGGTGTAACTAAGTTTATTGGTTGTTATTATTACATACACTGGAGGACAGTAGAAGTTTTATTGTGGATTTCCAACCATCAGTTTCTCCAGTTTGTTTCATAATTAGCTACTTCAGGGACATAAAAAGGCCATTAAGGAACAAGAGTGAGTACATTTTTGCTCCAAATACAATGGATTGATCCTTGATCCCATTGTTTTCCTCCATGGCCCCTGAGTTTCACAGTTGCTTCTGACTTTTCTCCTCGCATATAAGGGATGAATCACCGACCACTAACATTGTATTCTTCCACTCAGGACATTGGGAGAATTCCAGGAAGAATAGCCACAGGCAGGTGGAAACTTGCTAGCTACATGGCTAGTCTGCAGGACCACAAGCAATGCTAGCAATAGAGGAAAAGGCACTTTCCAACTCGTGGAAATCGCACAAACTGTTAAAAAGGAAGTGAGGGAGGCGTGTGCTGCAGCAGGGACAAAGCCAATTACAGATCCACTTCAGATTGGTGTAGGCTCCTATCAGAAACTGTTCATGGTCTTTCATGCACCACATCATTGACCACTGATGAGGTCAACATTGAGACCTAGAGCCAACAGCGTATATGTTGGGGGTGACTTGAGTTGTGGACTGCAACTCCCATCATACCTAACTGCTGCCCAGGTTGGCTGGGGCTGATGGGAGTTGTAGTCCAGGTTAGCCAGCCCTAGTGCATATAGTTTTTGTCCTAGATTTTTTTGTCCTGGTCATATCAAATCTATGTCTTACTTTGCATTATGTTGAAAGCTTTTTGTTACTAATGACAAGGGCATGGCTGGGGTGACTAACCTGTGGCCCTCCAGATGTTGCCAAGCTCCTACTCCCATCAATCTCAGGCAGCCTAGCCAATAGCCAGGGACAATGTAAGTTCAGCAACATCTAGAGGGTCATATGTTGTCTGCCTCTACAAGAAAAGGTAATAGCAATAGATTGGGAATCTAGATTAAGGAGATGAGCAAAGATTAACATTGCCTCCAGAGTTCCTTGCATGATGGTGTATCTAAAACCTTCTGAATTCAAATCAACTTCCATTGCATTATTCAGTTGAATGTATACATTTGTGCAATTTGTAAAATTCAAATGAATGTGCACACACCACTTTTTCTGTTTGGAGAATTGCCATTCCTTTCTCAGTGATGCCTAAGAAGATAAATGGATGCTTTCTGTGTATTTTACAGATCTTACATAATCAGTACAGTGGTACCTCAGGTTAAGTACTTAATTCGTTCCGGAGGTCTGTTCTTAACCTGAAACTGTTCTGAACCTGAAGCACCACTTTAGCTAATGGGGCCTCCCGCTGCCGCTGCACCGCCGGAGTCCGATTTCTGTTCTTATCCTGAAGCAAAGTTCTTAACCTGAAGCACTATTTCTGGGTTAGTGGAGTGTGTAACCTGAAGCGTATGTAACCTGAAGCGTATGTAACCTGAGGTACGACTGTAGTGGTAACAAAGGTAAGATCTGTGATTACACCCAAGCAGTATTTGCCCTTGTAGGGGGCTTGGAATTGTCACCAGAAAGTCAGAGCTGAACTAGGGTGGGGAGAGACGCAATGAAAGAAGGCATGTGCTCAATCCCAGCCCCCAGCCCCCAAATGTCTTTGGCACAGAGCATTTAAAGATATACTTAAATCCAGGGACAGGGAAAATACAGTGGTACCTCGGGTTACAGATGCTTCAGGTTACAGACTCCGCTAAGCCAGAAATAGTACCTCAGGTTAAGAACTTTGCTTCAGGATGAGAACAGAAATTGGGTGGCGGCAGTGCAGCAGCAGCAGGAGGTCCCATTAGCTAAGTGGTGCTTCAGGTTAAGAACGGACCTCCAGAACGAATTAAGTTCTTAACCCGAGGTACCACTGTATTATCAAATTGGTTGGAGGAGATTGAAGAAGCCTCTTCAATATAAGAATGCAATACGGCAAGTAATTTCTCACATCCAACATTGCAGAAATCCCTGTATGTGTCTTTCTGCATTAGGGTTGAGGGAACTGATCTCTGTTTATGAACGAATGGAGGCAGCTCCAAAAATTGCCCAGGATTTATACCATGTAGCAAACGCCAGTATACACGGCTTCCTTTGAAACTCACTATCCTACCTATTCTTTCGTGTCTTAACAATAAAGGAGTCTATATCTGCACAGAGGAAGGGGTGAAAAAGCTTGCTTCAGAAAAGCTCTATGTAAATCAGATGAGAAAGCAGTCAGCCCATACGAAACATTCTGTGATGTCAAATGGCCCTTTCTCCCATAACATAATTTCAAGAATTAAAACAGTACAAGATCTGCCTCCCCTTGGATAGGAAAATGGGTCAAAGAATACACAGTATTTTGTTCCTTTTCTCTGCTTCCAGAAGGAGAAATAAGGGAGATAAATCTACATAATGCTGAGCTGAATCTCTTTAATTCCAGTCAGCTTTTATCATTCAATCAGAGGCTGCATGTGGAAAAATTCATGCTAATTCCCCCTAGCAACAGCCTCAGCCTATCAGGACGCTCCATGCACCATGCAGCTGCCAGCCAGCCAGCAAGAATAACTCTAAGTAGGTCAGGCCTGTATTTCTAAAAATGCCACGGTCTAGTAACCCCACTGTCCCGTCTGTCAGCCCTGCCCCATAATAACCTCAATTGCTTGGCGACACAATGACATACTAGGCTGTTAGAGCGCAATCAAATCAGGCTGCATTATTCTGCTGCAAGCATGGCTGCTGGATGGAGGACCCTTTGAAGGGCAGCATTAATCAGGCAGCCATTCACGTCCGCTAACGTTTTCACTCTGGAGATGGGTCCTGCATTAATGACCAGCTGTTTGAACTTACACACACGCAAGCCAAATGAAATCCTTCCAGCCTGTTTGGTGCACAGAACAGTACTATTCTGGGTCCAGGCATGGTATACACGTTGCCCAAGTCCAAAATGCAGGGCTGGGAGAATGACGGCTTTTGTAAACTTCCAAGTAATTAAAGGATGTTTAAACGGCACTACATGCAGCAACAAAAGAGCTATTGGCTTCATGTTAACACACAGCCCTGTCCTCCGAACAAAATGCGCATTTTTTCCCAGCCCAAAATATAACATGTTTGCACAATGCAGTCTATTTTGGGCATATTATTAAGGCGAGCTAAATAAACAAGAGCTGAACTGAGGCTGACTTCTGCAGGGAATCTGGGAAACCAAAAGAGGCTCCGAGCAATTTGGGCAGCGCAGAACAGGAGGGGAGAAACACAAACCGCACGTTGCAAAGGCTTGCAGATAAAAGCCAGGAAAGTGCTGCGTAAAAGGCGTCTGCAAAAGGCCAATCACGGACGAGGCACCTCCCATGTCCCCCTCACTGCTTGCATGCAGCAGGACTGCAAATGCATGCCCAAAGCACTCAGGCTCAGCTCCCGAAATGTTCCCGAAGAAGCTCTTTTTCCCCCCAGGATCTGCTTTGGATTTAAAAAATGCTGTACCAAATTTGACACATTTGAAAGAAAACACACCCTTTGAAATAGAAAAGGCTGATTAAAAGCCATCTCACATTACTTGTGAAGCAGATTTGAAAAGCCCAGCAAAACTCAAATCTACAGTAATGGTGCGCTTTCTCTGCCATAGCCTTTCAGTGAAAGCATCACACATCTGCATTTGTTGTTTTCTCCTTTTTGGCAACTGTGGTGCAATCATGTCAGCCAGCTGCGTGAGTTAGATGAAGCCTGCATAAAAAGCAAAGGCATTTGTTACGGGCAACCAGTGCGTTTTTTAAAAGGTTCGCACTCTATACTCTGCAAATCTCTCCCCACAGCCTACTTCTGCAGAAAACTTGACAACTGAGCCCTCAACTATGCAGAACTCAGCAAGACCCACAACATGTGATCCCATCCATATTTGATTTATGAACACAGCACATTCATTAATCCATCTGCCCTTGTTTGAACCAGGGCTGATAACTAGGTTGTGACTATCTTCCTCACTTTGTGGCATGCATCACAGTTATTCTTGGAAAGATATGATCGCTGACGTAACCATGAACTGCTAATTACAAGCTGCTGACATTTTGCTGGTCTATGCAGCTTTGTACGATTTGCACAAGTCCCTCCCTCCCTCCCCCTCCCTCCCCCCCTCTCTTCCGCTTTCCACCCCCATCTCTCTCCGTTTAAAATGTCTGAGCTGGAACCACAATATCTGAGGAAGAGGTGTAGCTCCCCTGCAGAGCAAAAGGTATTTTCCTAAGCCAGATTTTCCCCCTTTAAAACAAGCAGAAAACTACATTTCTCCAACAGCTGGCTAAGATATTACTGAGCAAACAGTACACTCACCAGCACAAAATCCTGCAAGGTATAGACAGGAGCCTTAGAGAACGACTACTGAAAAACTCCTTTGGATACACATGAAGAAAAATTATGGTCTCTGGATTTAAACACCCACACATACACAAAGTAGGCAGCTGATGAAGAGTCCGCCAAGCTTCTCCTATCTGTCTGCAGCATTTGTTTCCTCTCACTTCATTTGGCCCATTACACAGATATGACCACCTTTAGTTATTATTCAGAAGCAGTTACCATATTAAGTATATTATAGCAAGTTCAGCTGCTCTTAAAAACACCAACAACACTGTTCTTACTTCACTGCCCCCCACCCCAGCAAAACAAGAAATAGGACTTGCCAGTGAGCATTTCAGAGCAAATCTTTTCCAAAATTGAGCACTGTGCATTTTCAGTGGGACTCCGGAGTCCCCCTCCCCAGCTTTTTTTTTTTAATTACAGGCTGACTTTGAAATGCATTAAAAATGTAAATACGTTGCCGATTTTCATTTCGGCTGCACATTGAGCCATCTGAAAATGAGGAGTTGCCAGCTGGGCTTCCAAAGTCATCTGGGATAATTTATTTTGATTAGACTGACCACACGTGTATTTACAGTATAGAATTTTTTCACTAGACTGAGTACAGCTGTGTTTATAAAGATTGTAAAGATGAAGCAAACAAAAAATCCCACTGTTCTTCCCTGTAACATATAGAAGATTCAAGGCTTCAAGGTGTTAAAGGAGAGAGAGAGAGAGAGAGAGAGAGAGAGAGAGAGAGAGAGAGAATTTCCAGAATCTCGCCTCCAAATGTGTCTTTTTCAAACAAGCTGACTGCTTATTGCCGAAAAGAACATGTAGAAAGGAGGTAGTTGAAAATATTCACCATAACCAAGCCTGGTCCAGCAGCCTGAAAGGCTTCCTATACATTCTCAAGTCAGAAAGCTGCCTTTCCCTCAATGCACATATGTACAAACACAGACACACATACAACATACACTGCACACTTCTCCTTTCCCCCACAAGGTGCTCATGTCTTTTCAGCCACCTACACCTTTTGTTTCCTCTGTAACCGCATTAGGGAGTGTTCAGACTACAATTTAGTCCCTCTATCCAGATATGGGTTCTGTAAATTATGCCATCATCATCATCATTGCAGAAATGAGCAGACACGATCAAACGGCATGCCGTCTCCTCTTCCTCCTTTTCATTTGCTGGCTTGCTCCCTTCCACTCTTTTCCTCCCATGGCTATGCTCTGACAGGCTCACGTATCAGATACTTTATTTATCCATCTCCAGCACAGCTCCTCTGAGGTGAAGCACGGCATCGCCATGGCTTTCCCCATAATAATCCCTTCGAACAGCAGTGCCCGGGATTCTTCTTCTTGATGCCCTTGCCATACGTACAGGATCGCTGCCAATGCCCTTGCTGTAAACACCGGATTACCTGGCATCGTATCTCTTTGACTCACATTTTTCACCCTTTATAAAAACCCAGAATCGCACATTTCCTCTCTTCCAGCAGGAACAGAATTCACTGCCCAGATTTTCCTCGCATCTTGCCGAGAGTGTGCCGACGAGAGATTCTCCCGTAGTGCAAGCCAGGTTGAAACGCAGGAAGGCAGGCAGGCAGGCAGGAGCAAGCCCAACAGCAGCAGCCGCAGCAACAGCAGCAATAGCAGCCACCCAGGTAAACGGGGGGAGCAGGATATGCCGAAAGTGGTACAGCGTCATCGCTCTGAGAGAAGACGAAATCGCTCCTTCCAAACAGCACGGCTCGAATCCTGCAGGAAGTAAAGAGCAGGCGTTCCCCCCCGCAACACAATCCCACCCAGCCCCAAAATGGAGAGAGTTAAAATCATCGTTTTAAAAAAAAATAAAAAAATCAAGCCACTAAAATAACACACAACTTTATTTCTGCCGTTTTGGATTTGGATATCTGCGCTGCCGGATATTACTGCCCAGGAGTGCACAGAGTCACGAGAGCTCTCTTTCCCCAAACTGCAAGAAGCCGAGCATCGCGTGAGGAGACACATGATGCGCTGGCAGACGGACGCTGATGTGGCCAACTAGTTCAGGGAAACAAGAGCAACGTCGGCAAATAATCGTCTTGAGCCAACAAACGCTGCTCTCAGGTAGCTGTGGTGCAGTTTCCTTTCGGAAAATACAATCTGTGTACATACGCTTCTGCACACAGTATCATGTCTGCGCCTATGTGCGTGCATGCTACTGTGAAGAGACGCCGAGGATGCTGTTCCACAGACACTAGCTGGATGGCAGCAATATTACTTCTTGGCTGCATTATTCCAAGCTGATTCCACTTAAGTGAATTCCTGAAAAGCATGCTCCATGTCTCTGTAGCCTGAACTGGTGGGGGGAGGGGGAGAGATCCCCAATGGCTTTATCTCTCCCAGCAATCTCTATTTGGAACTGCATCCTGAATAATTTATTTCTGGCAAATAATATGTTCACCTAGGATGTTCCCTTTCCCCTGTTACCGTCACATGCCGGATTCATTATGCAGGTAAAGCGTGTCCTGCTGCAGTCAGGGAAGGAGAAGGAGCGTTAATCATTTCCCCCAAGTGCTGGGTTTACCAGAGACACAAACAATCTGGGCCAAGATGCTTCTGCTTTATTGTGCATAAAGTAGGTTTTGCTCACATGTGACTGCCAAACAGCAAATATGTTTGCTGGTGTTATACGGTGTGGGTGTGGGTGTGGGTGTGTGCGTGTGCAGAAATATGTGAGCACACACGGTTGAGAGGGAAAGAACAACAGAGTGTGCATATTTGTGTGTGTTAGTTATAAATATATAATTTTGAAGGCAAAACAGGAAGAAAATCACGCTTACAGTTTTGTTCCTGCATGCATGGCATGTCACTGTATTTCCTTAATTAATGCAGTTAATAAACACTGTGCGTTCCTTAAACGGCCAGTTAAACCCCTGAGAATTCTCTCTATGGCTTGCTCTCAAGTCTCCAATAGGTTAATGGTCCCCCTCTGTGTTCCCTCTTGCCTGCAGAAGTCTGGTAATGAGGGAATAGTCAGCTGGCCAAAAAGGGGTGGGGACACCTGTAGGCATAACTATCATCAGACAAACCGTTAACAATTCTGAGGCTTCTGTTGCTCCAATATTGGTGCAAAATGACAGAATAGGAGACAACATGTCTTCCGTTCCCTTTGTTTACTTATCTGTGGCAATGCCCTTGCACCGCTACTTCTATTTTTCCCTGGAATCTAACTGGAAGCTGTGTTTGGATGAGGCAATGGATTCCTAAGGTGGATGGCGGAATTGTACAGTGGCCTGGTACATGTTCTGGCATTTGTATGATGCCAGTCAAACGTAGATCGACGTATTAGCAACATACACGTCACTTGGGATAAGGAAAAGAGGTGAGCAAAGCACAGAGAGAAAACTACTCCGGTAAAAAGCAGATGGAAAACGGGGTGGGGAGGAAAGCAGCCCCAAACAGCAAATGCTTCTTTTCATTGGTTCTCAGGTGAAAGAGGATGCTCACTGGTCCAGTCCTGAGGGGCCCAAAGGACCACTCAGCAGATACAAGCATTATCCAAATGCAAAACCAGTTTGCATACCACAGGCTATAGCCTTGGACACAGGGAAAAGAAGAAAAGAGTTCTAAAAGGTGATTTGCTATGGAGATCCCACACACTGCATACTGTTGAATATAAACTGCACACCTAGGCACAAAAAAAATATATAAATATATGCAAAGAGGCCTAGCGAACACTGGCTTGTCTAATACTGGTGCTTTTTATGGTTTGAAGTGGCACTGGGAATCATGGCTTTGGCAATTTTGATACATCAGCTCAGTCTGTCTTAAGAAATCAGTGTTGTTTTATTTATTAAGTTGCAGGTTGTCTTGCTCTATTTTTTTTTTAAATTGCACCCATACCGAGTTTCAGTAATCTGTAAATGCATTTAAATGTAATTGATCAACCAGCTGAAAGGTGATCAACTTTCACAGAGTATCAGATAAGTGTCAGTGTACATCCCAACACTCTTAACATTCCAATTTTTAAATGCCTGTTAAATGAACACCTGTAATCTATATAATCACTATCTCTATATGTGAAATCAGAGCCAGCTTTGGAAACTATCTTGCGTCATCAACTTTTGAATGAGTAAGGTAACAAATTCCAGCACACAGCAAAGTAGAAATTCAGAGAAGCAATGGCTATTCCCAGTTATTTCCCAAATCAAATAAACGAAACAAAGGGACAAGGAGGTAAAACACAGACTGCTATTTTAAAACATCAGTAGCCTTTGTTGACTGAAATGAGTCCTTGATGGCTCTATTAAAAAAAAGATGTGATGGAATGCTCATGAACACTCCAAATTCTCAGAAGTTTTTAAAAGACATCTCAGCATACAAGGCCTAAGGAGAGATGGGACTGGGTGCCAATGGTGAGAATTGGTACAAGCAGAGAAGGGTTTAGGCGGCACTATTAAAGTATTGGTCAACTGTTATGACTTTACGAGAAAAAACATCTCTCTCAATAAACTTACAGGAACTGTGAGGGAAATAATATTTTTGAACGGGCTGTGAACTTTGATATATTGACTTCAGAAAAAAAATAAATCTGAAGCATGTCACTAAGCCTGTCCTGATGGGAAAGAGTAGAGTCACTATTCAGCTCATGCTCCCTTGAAAAGTTCATGAAGCTCAGCACATCTAGCCCTTTCCAGTGAACCGTCTCCTTTCCCTGTAGACTCTAGAGAGAAGTCTGTGGTTACTTGAGGTTTTAACCCCAAACCAGACAGAACTCTTTATTTTTCACTCAACATGAAACCTCAAAGTGAAACCTAGGGGTGCGAAGCCTGTGGATTGAAACCAAAACAAACATTTGTCAACTCTTACATAAATAGAAACCCAAGAGTTGCACATAGCTCCCGCAATGACCCCAAGTTGGATGTTGGCCAATAAAGCAAAACAAACATCCCTAACTTTGGTGTGACTTGCCAAGGGCTATTTAGTGGCTTCAGGCTCATCTGAATGCCATCCCTTTGGTTGCACATCTCTTTGATTGCATATTTTACTCTCCCTGCTTCTTTATCAATACACTTGCATCAGCAAAGGCCTCTCAACACAAGTTTGCTCAGGGTTGGATTCCAGAAATATGCACACCATCACAATTCCAAGGTCAAAGGAACAACAGTTCTCATGAGCCTCTGCAATGGATTACAAAATATGGTACATAGATCAAAGTACTGACACTAAACTTGTCTCTGTGATGGCGCCTGGACCAAGCCATTTCCTATCCTTCTTTTAGTGCTAGTGCTTCACAGTGCTCTTATGCACCACAGCTATGAACCACAGCTTTGGAAGCAAACCTTTTCCCCTGTTTGCTCGTTTTCTATGTAAAGTGAGAATCTATTGCCATTTTTCTAGAAAAAGAGGTCCTGGAACTCACCATGAATGTCTCCTTTGTTCTCTTATAACGGCAATAGTGCCCACCTGAGAGGTGCTAGAACTGAGTTCTGGTGAGTACCAGCTGGGGGAAGCTCTGTCTATTGCTATATTTTGGGTATGGTGGAACTCTCAACCATGTGACCCCCCTGCAATCTGAACCGGTACAGTCCAAACAAGCTCATCGCCCGTCTTCATGACAACAGGGCTTAACTGAGAATTTTTAGAACATATTTCAGATTCAGGGTGGGCTATTCGGTGCTGTTCATATGAATTTTGAATGAAAACCTGCTATTATGTCACCTACTTGCTTTTTAAACTGACATGCTCTGTGTATAATGTATAGCGACAGTAAGAATCATAATAGAGAGTTGACACAATCATGCAACGTGTGTGTGTGTGTGTGTGTGTGTGTGTGTGTGATGAATTGCACCTAACGAGAACAGCAAAAGTATCTATGATCAGTAAACAGTGCCTTCATAAAAGGTCAATTTTTTCAGTTTTTTAATTTGTATACCACTCTGTACCTGTAGATCTTAGCGCTGTTCACAACATAAAACTACAATACTCTCCATTTGGTAACTTGTAGTATTACAAAGTATGCAGCCTCGGGTGCAATAAGCTTACCTGTGTCATAAGAGGAAGAGCTGATATCAAGATAACAGTGGAGAACAATCTTTGGACAAGAAAGCAAGCTAAGCTGTGTACTGCAAGCTTTTCAAAATATGGGCTCTGGAAGTGAATATTCTCCGTGCTTGTCATGCCAGGGAGGCAAGCTTAAACACGACAGGCATAACAGGACAGGAACAACATAGGTCAGGCATGAGGAACCACTGACCCACAGGCCAGATTAGGTCCAATAAGTTCCCTAATTTGGCCTTTGAGACCGTTTATGTCAGTTGTCCCACACCTGACATAATATGCAATGGCAAGTGAGGGGCAGGTGAAGATGTGGCTGTAAAGCAGCCACTGGCAGATTAAAGTGCACTGCTGGTTGTTCCTCACTGACAGCACTGCCCAGCTGACAGGAAACCCTTGCAAGTGCAGTTTGTGTTCAAACCATGCCTGCAAAGTGACAAGTTTCCTCTACAGGTTGGCCTTGCAGCTTTGCCCATTTGCGGAGAAAAACTGCCCATTTGCTGGTGTGGCTTTAATCCAAACTGCATCTGCAAATAGGCAACTTCAAAAGGGTTCGCTGTCAGTATTCATCAGCTGATCAGGACCCACTCACTTGCATAGCTAACTGAAAAGGGTTCCCCACTCCACCTTAGACGTATTTCTCAACATAAGCTCAAAGGCTCCCCAAACAATCAAGAGTTACCAGCCATATCCTGAAACAAAGGTATATACAGGTTGTATAGTACTAACCTGAAAAAGAAAGTTGTGGTGAAGAGGCCTCATAGGATACAGGTCTGAGCTTCACTGTGTGATGCGCCGTCTCTAGCTGCTTGCTGAGTTCTGACTTCTCCTGTAGAAAAATGTACAAACAAGAATTATATAGCTAAATGACTTGATGTTAGATGCACCGACTTTGCAGCTGAACCAGGTCATAGCCTAATGAAGTGTTAATATTTCATCTTGGGCAACAGTCCAATTTTCCTTTGTTAGTTTAGGACTGGGTCCTTATATGGAATACATTGCACAGGTTCAAATGCAAGAGCAATGTTTTTTCACACCTGCCAGACGCTTCACCTTAGACTTTGGGAGTACGGTCAGGAAGTCAGCTTTTCCACCCTTGTTACTGTAAACAAAGAGTGCTTGGCAGACATCCAAGTGTTACAAGTGGGAATGGTCTGAGCGGTAATAAACAAGAGCTGAATCCAGAAATAAAATAGAGGCTAAACATTCAGATGACCGTAAGCCAAAAATAAAAATCAATTTATTTGCAGCAAAAGCCACTTATTATCGTGAGTTAAACATGTGAAAATTATAAATGTTTCAGAAAGGATGCAGTAGTTGGTTTAGGAACACCCCATGGCTGTAGAATTACTGAAGCTAAGCAAGTATGAACTTGGCCATGGATACGAAATCACTGGAAACCCCATATAAGTGTAGGATTTTTAAAAAACAAAACAACAACAACTTTGGGGCAGGATCCATGGATCCTATTGAACTGAACAATACATTATTGCTGGATAACCGAACTCTGAAAAAGAACTGAAATGGAAGCAGCAGTTACGAGTGTGGGCCTTCCTTTTAATTCTGCAACCATCGCTAAGATGTTGTAAGATGCCTGTCCCTACAATTTTTACTGCTACTTCATGAGCCTTGGGTCCAGCGGTCTTAAAACAGCAGATGGAGTAATAAAACTCTGTTTTCAGCTGTAACACTTCAAGCAGCTGGTGAAAGCTCACCTGGCTGAATGTTCCTCAATTCAAACACATTCCCGCCTGCAATTTAAACAGGCAAAGCTTAGGGATGGGTGGGTCCATCCTGCTAATCGGCCAAGTGTCCAAATTATTAAGCTGGGGTAAAATGGTTGTCATCCATCTGCCTCGGGAGACAATGGAAGAGTGCATCTTCAGGAGTGAAGTCAAACTGTTGGAGAGTTACATGCCACAAATACACACACAGGCAAACAGTCAGCTATCTCTGGGTAGAATAAGAGATGTGGAAGGAATTACCATGGCTGGGCCAAGGAATCAAGACAACAATGACACAGTAACTCTGAAGGGAGCTTAATTCTGGATTTAGGGAATGTATAGACAGGGGAGGCTCACAGATGCTCTTCACATGCCTTTACCTTACTATGTATGATGGAATTTTTACCAGTTCCATGAAGAGACCTCTGTATACTGCTGCACATTGAACCCTACTTCATATCTACATTTTATATGACATTTACAAGAACACCACGGCACGCTCATTAGTAGAGACTGGCCACACAAGATTCATATAACTATCCCATCAGTTTGGGAAGGGGACTCAAAAGGTCCTTAAAAGGCAGCGTACAATGTTCATTATAAATTTGGAATTGCCCAGAGGATTGCCCATAGCAAAAGCAAAAGCTTATAACTAGTCAGAAGAGAATTGGGACTGATGCACCAGAGGGACCCTTATCAGTCCCAGTGCGAGAGCAGAATGAGGCCCTCTCACACAAAGGCAGGGTGGAGGACCTGTGGCCCTTTACATGTAGTTGGATTACAATTCCCATCATCCCTGACCATTGGCCATGTTGGTTGTGGCTGACGTGAGTTGGAGTCCAACAACACCTGCAGGACCACCTTGAACTATAAGAACAAACTGTGTTCAAAGCTGCCTGAGTACAGTGAAGAAAACCTAGCCCAATGAGAGAGACTAGGGATGTGAGACAAAGAATTCTAAGATTCATCACAAATTACAACTCCCGGGATTCATGCTAGTTTGAATTTGGAGTGAATAAGTCTTGGTATAATTGTATTATTTCATTCCTTCTGCCAACAGCTCAACAGACTTTTTCCCTGTTGGCATATAATAAAAGTGAAATAGCAGTAGCTGTTGGTAAAATACTCTGACGTGGCAATGATTCTGGCATCCTACAACCATCCAAATGTTTAATCAGTTCAGTATTAACACAAGAGGCATCTTAATAGAACAAATCTCATAAATAAGTTGGTCAGAATTTATCATAGCTTTGTATTTTTTAGAAAAATATACACCCTGACAATGAACAGTTGAGGAAGGCTTTAAAATCCCAATAGGATGCATGAACACAAATTAAATGACACATCTGCCAATAATCATCCAATTCTTAACAAAAAATGCAATTGTAGTCAGGGGAGTTCAACAAAAGGCAAGCAGTTTCTACTTGCAAGACAAAGAAAATAAGAACACAACAACTGTATAAAAGAGATGAAACTCTTCCACAGTTGTATATGATTTCTGCCTGCATAACAATGGCTCTTTGTATGCCTGCAAATAGGCTTCCTTTTAATGAATGTATAACTGTGGCAGTTTTGAAGTATAAAACTTCTGTTTAATTCCACATCTGATCCTTTTCATGACAGTTGGCCAAGACTGCAAAAATAATTACTGAAAATACTGCACACGCTGGACCACACAGATGTCTGCTATAATAACTGGATTGTAATTTATTTCTAGCAGACAAGTGGTGTGAGGGCCTATTCACACATGTACAAAAGTGGGCAAAAATAAAACGCAGCCTGGAGCCAAGGTCAAAGGGATTAGACTTGAAGTCCAAATGGTGGATACGTATATAAAGTCCAATGAACTCGGGACAACAATTTCACTCATTAGGGCAAGGCCTGCATGTTATCTGGTCTATATAAATCAGGTTCCTGGATGGTCCATATATAAAAGGAGAAGACTGTAACAGCACCTTAGCAATTACCTGTCAAGGACTGGCTGGATGAGGAAGAGTGGTGGGCACCACCTACCTAAGAACTGCCCAGGGATGACACAGAGGAAAGAGACTTAGACCCAGGACAGCGGTGGTGGGACACAGAGGACCAGTCTGCAACAGGCCAGACAGGCCCAGAGGAGGAGTCCTTCCTCACCACAGTTTACAGCTGCTTGGAGGAGTTCAGAGTGAGGGGGCTAGAGAGGGGAGAAGGAGCGAGATGCCAGATCCAGCAACAACTTCAACTAAGAGAGACTAGCCTAGACGAACTCTGTTGTGTTTCTACTTTTTGAATAAAAGCTGATTGCACTTCACATCTCGAGTCATTTCCTGACCTGTGGAGGACCCAGCATTCCTGACAGCCCCTTGACATTACCTGGTTTTGGGCTTCACTTTAGTTGGCAGGCTCTTCCCTCTGGGCTTGGAGAGGAAGGAATTGGCTTCAGATAAAGGGCCAGGTAAATATAGGGGTGGATAAAGAGATCCCTCATGGGCACCAAAAGGAAGCTCTGATATTACACTTTAATGGAAAACCCCAGTATGTCAACGTAATGCCACTCAGCTATTATTGGAGTCCAACTCCATAATCTAGGGCAACTATCTAGGGCAAATGGGAGACAGGAGTTCAAGAACTAGAAGGTGCAACATGGTCTAGGTTAGCAGTGGCTCTTCAGGGTTTTAGATGGGGGGTGTCTTTCCCATCCCTACCTGGAAATATCAGAGATGGAACCTGGGACCTTCTGCTCCATCTAATCTGAATTAATTTTCAGGTGGGCTCTGGCTGCACAATAGGTTCTGATTGTGTTATTTGGATCTACATTACACTCAGTAAAACCACACAGTATTTTCTGTATCAAGTGAATTGCAGTAGTTCTTGTGGGTGGGGGAAACTCTAATGGTATTCTTGGTATAACTTAAAATGAAAACCCTATCTTAATTAGTAACATGCTGTAAGAATGCGTTAGAAAACCTTAAAGGCTTAACCTGAAGAAGCTTTTGGGCTTCTACATTTTTAATAATAATAAAAAATACTTCTCTTGTATTACATATGAACTTGCATGAATTTGTCAAAAATAACAAAAGGAAATAATCATAT